TAAAATGTAGTTGGGTACACTTGACTTTTGGGATGTGTATATTAGCTACTATTAATTCTTATTGTTGGATTGTTCCCTTTGCCTGAATGTAATGACCCTCTTTGGCTCTTCTAATTTTTGCTTGAAATCAACTTTGACAGATATGAGAATGGTCACTCTGGCCTGTTTTCAGAGTTTGTTAGCATGGACTATTGTTTTTCATCCTTTTACCTTTAGCCTGTGAGTGTCCTTAGTTATGAGATGAGTCTCTTACAATTATCATGTGGTTGGATTTAAAAATTTTTTTCCTGCTAATCTGTGTCTTTTAATTGGGCAGTTGGAAACCTTTATATTCAGTATTATTATGGTTATGTTATTGGGTTCATTGTCATTTTTTATTCAATTCTGCTGTGGTTTTCATTTAGATGATTTGTCTTCTATTGATTTTCATTTATTTGGGAGTTTTAATTTTGTGATCCTCTATGTGTAGTTTATCTTTGAGTATTCTTTGTAGTGCTGGTTTGTCCTGTATTCATTTAGTTTATCCTTGTCATAGAAGCTTTTTACTGCCCTATCAAATATGAGGGAGAGCTTTGCTGGGAACAGTAATCTCTGTTAGCAATTGTTTGTTTTTTAGATCTTGAAAAAATCTTGTTCCATGCCCTCTTTAATATTAATGTTTGAGTAGGGAAGTCTGAAATGAGCCAATTGGTTTGCCTCTAAATGGGACCTGGTTTTTCTCTCTTGCAGCTTTTAATATTCTTATTTTCTATGTTGGACATTTTGATTATGATGTGTCTTGGAGAACTTCTCTCCTGGTTAGGTCTATATGGAGTCCTGTATGTCTTCTGTATGGACATGTCTCTCTTTTTTATAATACAGGGAAAGTTTTCTGTAACTATTTCATTGAAAATGTACTTGATGACTTCAGGTTGTGTCGCCATTTTCTCTTCTATCTGACTGATTCTCCTGTTTGGTCTTTCAAAGTTGTCTGAGTTATTGTATATTTTTATCATATTTTATTATTTTTTTCCATTGTTGCATTCTGTATATTCAAATTCGTGTATCCTGTCTTCAAGTCCCAAGGTTATATCTTCAAGCGTTGAAGTTCTATTTTCTGTGCAATTCGATCTGTTAGTAATGCTTTCAAGTGAAATTTTTTTTGGCACTGGGGATTGAACTCATGGGCACTCAACCACTGGGCCATATCCCCAGCCCTCTTTTGTAGGGTCTCACTGAGTTGCTTAGAGCTACACTGTTGCTGAAGCTGGCTTTTGAACTCGTGATCCTCCTGCCTCAGCCTCCTGAGCTGCTGGGATTACAGGTGTGCACCACTGTGCGTGGCTCAAGTGAATTTTTAAAAAATTTTTTTTAGTTGTAATTTGACACAATGCCTTTATTTATTGTTATGTGATGCTGAGGATTGAACCCAGCGCCTTGCACGTGCTAGGCCAGTGCTCTACTGCTTAGCCACAACTCCAACCCCTTAAGTGAATTTTTAATTTGATTCATTGTTTCTGTCATTTCCAGATGTTATGATCAGTTTATTTTTAGTATTTCTGATTCTTTATTGAAATGGTCTTTCATCTGCTACATTTGCTCTCTTATTTCATTAGTTCTTCTTTTAGTTCATTGAACATTTTGATAATCAGTTTTTTATAATCTTTCTTAGGAATTTCCTCCACTTCCATTTTTGTGTTACCTTTTTTTAATTTTTATTTTTTAGCTTTAGGTGGACACAATATTTTTATTTTATTTTTATGTGGTGCTGAGGATCGAACCTGGGTCCCACCCGTGCTAGGTGAGTGCTCTACCGCTGAGCCACAATCCCAGCCGTTGTGTTATCTTTTGTTGGAGTATTTTGAATTTTGTGGGGGAATTGTTTGCCTGTTTCCTCCGGTTTTCCAAGATCCTTTTCTTGTGCATCAATTGAGGTGGGTTTTTCTTCCTTTCTATGTATGTGCCTTTATGTATATATTTCTTTTTTATTATAGAATTTTTGTTTTGGATATATGAGTAGACCTCTAGCTGGGAAACCTGAAGTTCCCATCTGATTGTTCTTCTATTGGCCCTGGTTTTTGGATTAGGGTTTTTGTCTTCTAATTCTTTGAGTTGAAGTAATGTTTACACTCAGGGTTGGATCAACTGTGAGGTGAGTTCCCTGTTGCTTGGCTGAGTTGTGATTCTTTATTGAAAGCAGGGATTCTACTCTGGAAACTTTAAAAATGCCAATGACTTCCAGTGCTTCTTAGTGGGAGTGGAGTCAGTAATAGTTCTAATGATAATGACAGAAATGTGAATTTTAAGATGATTGTCTGGTGTCTCCTTTAAAACCTATAGCCTAATATTCACCTATATTTTCTTAGAATCTATCTGTGCAATGAGTACCCACACACCTACACACAAACAACCATATTCATGCACTTCAAATCATACATAATGGAAAAAAGTGAAAAATATACTATGTGATGGAGTGATGATTGGAAAAAAATTTAAGGAGTTGAAATTTGAAAGATGAATTAAAAAAATTAAAGTGGGGGTTTGGTAGAATAAAAGAAGAAAAGAGAAGAAAAAAAGGAGAAGAAATCTTGCTGCAAATAAAAAGCTTCTTTCTGCTGGTTGTTCAAAACTGCTGGAATGGATGCTCATTCTTTGCATTTTCTTTTGACTTTTCAGCCCTTGACTTGACAGTTGGAGATTGTATAGCCAACAACTTTGTGTTCCTCACCTTGGCTGCCTGCCTTTGTGGCTAGGTGTCACAGCTAATTGTAATAGATCTTTTTCCAGTTGCCCAGTATATGGTGATTTAGCACTGTTTTGGTGATGATAAATTGTATTTTTCTGTTGTGGGGAGGGTGGTGCTGAGTTCTGAGTTGAAGATTTAAGTAATTACAGTTTAGATTTGACCTAGCTTTAGAACTCTGTGGGTGGGTATTTGAGGATTAATCCTCTCCCCTTATTGCATTGGTGAGAATCCAGTCTCTGCCTTGTCTAGATCTCAAGTAAAATCTGCTTTTTGGGTATACTGATAAAATTGTCACCAGTTTCGGCTTCACTGATATGAATATGAAGTAATAGGTGTTTGCCTCGGAGTGCAGATGTACCTGCATGACACTTGTAGTGCCAGTAGGAATGTGGGTTTTCTCCCTTGGGGTCATGATGCTGAATGATCTAGGTTAAAAAAATAATAAAAATTTATGCCAATTTCAGTTTCTTTGGTTCACGGGCTTTCTGGGGATTGTTTTTAATTTTTTTTTTTTTTTTTAAAAAAAAAAAAAAAAAAAAAAACAACCCGGCTTTAAGGGAACCTGTTCTTTCATCTAGTCTCTGCTGGCAGTTTCCTCAGGCCCTGCGCAGCAGCTGCTTTTCCCTCAGGGAGTGCAGTGGTACACTGCAAGTTGTTATTTGAATTTCTTTCTTACAGCCTCTGGCTGAGATCCCTTTCCCCTGAAGATCTCTAAGGTAAGGGAGGGCTGATCAGAAAGCCTATCCAGACCTGCTCTGAGGTGCAGCAGGTCTCCTTCCACTGAGGAGCTATGAGGTGGGGTAGAGTTAATGGGGGGCCAGACACTGTGGTACTCTGGCATTCTGGAACATTTCTTCATTTGTTGGCCATCTGTGTTTCTTCTTTTGAAGAGTTTCTGTTTAGTTATTTAGATCTTGCATCTAAAACATGAATAATAATTCAGTAAACATTGTTAAAATAGGTTGCTCAGGATTGTAAGAATGGTTTAGATTAATCATTAAAAGCTAGCTAAGAAGATAGCTTAGTTTCCAAATGGTGAGGAACTTAATATATAAAGAACAAATAAGTGGGGAATAAGACCCTTTTCACTTATTTCTGCTTGTAGATAGACATGAAAATTATTTAAAAATGTTTGTTAAATGGACTCTTCTTTTGCTAGAAATATAAATGAGAATTCTCTGACATTTTCAGGTAGGGTTTTTTTTTTTTTTTTTTTTTTTTTGTACTGGGAATTGAACCCAGGGGGTTTTACATCCCCAGCCCTTTTTTATTTTTATTTTTTTGAGACAGAGTCTTGAAATATTGCTGAAGCTGGGTTGGAACTTGAGATACTCCTGCCTTAGCTTTTCCGGTAGCTGGGATTACAGGTGTATGCCATCACACCTGGCAAGTAGTTTGTTTTGATAGTAGCTAAAGAAAGAAAGGATTTAATTATATATATATATATATATATATATATATTTTTGTTTTTGATATTTGTTTGCTTGTTTTTCTGGTATTGGGCATTGAACCCACGGGTGCTTAACCACTGAGCCATATCCCCAGCACCCCCACCCTTTAAATTTTTCTTTTAGTTGTATATGCACTTTATTTGACTTTATGTGGTGCCAAGATAGACCCAGTGCCTCACACTTTTTTTTTTTTTTTTTAGAGAGAGAATTTTTAATATTTACTTTTTAGTTTTCGGCGGACACAACATCTTTGTTTGTATGTGGTGCTGAGGATCAAACCCAGGCCGCACGCATGCCAGGCGAGTGTGCTACCGCTTGAGCCACATCCCCAGCCCAGTGACTCACACTTTTGAGGCAAGTGCTCTACTATTGCGGGCTGGGGCTGTAGCTCAGTGGTACAGCGCTTGCCTCGCATGCATGAGGCGCTGGGTTCGATCCTCAGTACCACATACAAATAAGTAAGTAATTTAAAGATACTGTGTCCATCTACAACTAAGTGCTCTACTACTGAGTCACAGCTCCAGCCCCTCGCTAGTCCTTTTTGTATTTTATTAAGAGACAGGGTCTTGCTGAGTTGCTTAGGGCCTCACCAAATTGCTGAGGCTGCTTTGAACTCACAATCCTCCTGCCTCAGCCACCCGAGCTGCTGGTCTTTATATGTGTGCGTCACCATGCCCAGCTGATTATACAGGTTTTAGAGCTTAAAAATAAGAATAATATATCTAATGTATAGTATCCATGTACTTTATATATCGAACATAATTTTTCCTTAGACTTGAATGCAGTTGATGTGTTTCTTTTTCCTTTCTTTAAAATAAAAATAGGATGACCATGAAAGCTGTGGTTCTAATTCTACCAATCGTAGTGCTACTGAAAACACAAAATCATCAGTAAAACCCCGAAGAATTCAGCAGGCTGCTCCTACAGATCCTGATTTACCACCAGGTAACTACTTTTAGAACATTTTGGAGCCAGAATTCTACAAGTGGGTTTCATTCAGATTTTGGTTTGTTTTTTCAGCAAGTTGTTATTTGAATTTCTTTCTTACAGCCTCTAGCAAATGAAGATTCATGGTCTTTTTTTCCCCCTTGTGCGTTGGTAACAAAAAAGACTGGATTATTCTGAATTTCTGGAAACTCTAAAATTTACTAATAACAGAATTTTATAACTGGAAAGAGCTTGTATATTATCACTTTTATTTTCTGATATTTTAATTTATGTATGTAATAGCTCTTTAGAACCATATTAGAATTCAGACTGATATAATTGTGACTGTTGGCCTATTTTTTCTACCTTTATTTTATTTACTTATTTTTTATATAGTGCTGAGTATTGAACCCAGTGCCTCATGTATGCTAGGTGAGCACTCTATCACTGAGCTAGAACTGCAGCCTCCGTTGGCCTATTTTTACTTGCATAAAACATAATATAAAACATCCTATTTTTAGTGACATAAGACAGAATTTTGTTCTGCCTGAATTACCTCAGGTAGTTTTGGGTTAGCATGTCTTTTTTTTTTTTTTTTTTTTTGATTCTGGGGATTAACTCGGAGGCACTCAACCACTGAGCTACATCCTCAGCCCTGTTTTGTATTTTATTTAGAGACAGGGTCTCACCGGGTTGCTTAGTGCCTTGCCATTGTTGAAGCTGGCTTTGAATTCTCTGTCCTTCTGCCTCAGCCTCCCCAGCTGCTGGGGTTATAGGTGTGCATCACTACACCTGGCAGCATGTGCTTTTCTACTTTACTGAATAGGAAGACACACAGTCTTTTTATACTGACATAAATCACAGGAAGTTGCTTTAAGAAGTAACTGAATCTATTGGCCAATTACTGGGAGTCAGAGCAGCTAAACTCAATACTGCCAAGGGCTGTATTAAGAGTCTAGTTGGATAAATGGTAAATCATTTTATTTAAAGGTTAAACTCAAATGGTTATTTGAAGATTCATTTCTTGCAACCTTATCCTGCTCGAGAATCATATTTTTTTTCATGGTAGAGATAAATGTCTGGGTCAAGATTATTTCTTCTGGGACCTGTGGTTACAGTTTTGGAATTTGAGCATTTTTATTCAGCCAGAGATGATTTTTGAGAGAAATTTTGGTATTGTCAGTAGATAGGCACTTGTTTTACTACTTTGCTGGGTAGGTGGCTTTCCAATAGAAAAAGAAGTATATAACATATCCATGCAAACTCTAGCTTTGTTATCTAGAGCTGTCTTTTTCAGACTACGAATCTTGACCCGTTAGTGAATTGTTAAAACAGTTTAATGGATCATGTTAGTCATTTAAAAAAAAATATGGTGTAGAATAGAAAACACCATAGCATATTGGCATGTGGTAATAGTAATATTTCAAAAAACTTGTGTGTGTGCACGTACTTGTGCTGAGATATTATGTGTAATATTTTTTACTGGGAGAAAATCAAAAGAATTTGAATCTGATTTGAAGCATACATATTTTATTTAAGTTAATGATGCATTTAGGTTGAGATCTTCAATTACTGCTAATAACGGTCTTGAATCATGTGCTTAGAATATTCTGTAAGATATGCTGACAATTTTCATTTAGAGAGTTTAATGATGATGTTTCATTTAGTTATTTATTCATGCTTTTCTTTGTATTCTCTGCACTTTATTTTTATTTTTTGTAGTGTTGGAGATTGAAGTCAGGGCCTTGTGCATGCATGCTAGGCAAGAGCACTAAAACTGAATGATATCCCTGCCCCAGTTCTGTGTACTTTATCTCAGTATAAAGTAACCAAGTCTAAAATAGAGAGATGGATTGTTCATTTTTCTATGTGTTGAGTTATATAGTTGTTGGCTTTTATTGAAGGACATTGTAAGAAGCAGAAATTTGTGGATTGCTTCTTCATTTTCTTAAAATGGCTTTAAAGGGTATTGTCCTTTAATTTTTCAGAGTCTAACTAGTATTTTTTTAAAAATTATTAAACAGTTACTTCCTTTTCTTTTCCTGCTAGGATACTCAGAAATGAATTTGTGTTCTCTTGCGTAGCTTCTTTTTCTTTTTTTGTCATCTAATTTTCTTTCCTTTTCTTTACTCTTTTGGTCAGAAGATGTATATATATGGGCTGGGGTTGTGGCTCAATGGTAACTCGCTCGCCTAGCATGTGGGAGGTGCTGGGTTCTATCTTCAGTACCACATAAAAATAAATAAATAAAGGTATTGTGTCTAACTACAACAAAAAAAAATTTAACAAAAAGATGTATGTATGTGTATAAATGTAGATATGTTATAACTCATTTAGTTGGAAATGTTTAAAATATAATTAAACTGAAAACCATGTGCCTATTTGGTCAGAAATTAAAATTTAGTCATTTTTGATATATGTCATATAACAGAGGGGTTTGCAAACACATTTATTTGATAAAGGGCCACTTGCAGGCTGTCTGTTTTCTATCACAACAGCTATTCCACACTAATGATATACTGTGGAACCAGCCATGGATGATTAATAAATTTATGACTCTGGCTGTTTTCCAATAAAACTTTCTTTTTAAAACTTGATGTCACAGATCTTGTTTTGTTGGCCCCTGACTAAAGAAATATAACATCTGATTTATAATAAGCATTTACATGTTTTTGAATTGTATAAAATCACATAGTACTTTTCTTAGGCTTAGATAATTTGATTCATAGAGTCACTGAAATTGGAATAAGAAGATCAGATTTTCTGGTCTAGAGCAATCAGTCCTTTTTAGGTCATGGATCTTTGAAAATCTTTTGAAAAAATTGTGCACATTCACATACACACATTCAAAATTGACATAACTTTAGGGTATTCATTGTTGGGAGTTGCCCCAGCTCCAAAGACTAACTTCCCCATCCCCCAAGAAGAGCCGTCCAATGGTGAGCCTTGCTGGCTCACATGATCCTGCCGTCCAATGGTGAGCCCTGCTGGCTCACATGATCCTTACCCACCAATTAGAACGCACCCCAAGCCAGCTGCCAAAAAACCGTTAAATTGTTAAACTGTTTCAACTGTCAACCCCCCCCCCCATAAATATGCAGAGCTGCCTCAATAAACAGGCATTTTTCTCCGACAGCAAGCCTTGATCGTTCTTTCATTCATATACCTGCCGAAGCCAATCCATAAGTTTAAATGTCTTTGCATTTTGCAAAAGAGCAAATAGAAACTGATATTTTGATATCCATGAAGAGACATCATTTAATTAGAAGTCACATATTGCAGAAAATATTAAATATGAAATAGAGAAAAGTGTGTGTGAGTAAATGTGCTTAAGTCCTTAACATATTGGGCTTGGTTTTCTTCCTCCCTTCCTCCCACCCTCCCTCCATTCCTTCCCTTTGAAAATGTAGTGCCGGGGTTTGAACTTAGGGCCTCATGCAAATGATTAAAAAAAAAAGCAGAACTTATTTCATATTTTCTTTTTTTTAATGCTTTAACATTTCAGTGCTTTCACTGTTTAACATTGTGCATTAAAGTGTTCTGGTCAGACTCATTTTTTATATTTAAAAATGACACAGATTGTGTAAGTTAGGGAAATATTAACTGGTGGACAAGTTAGTTTTTGAATTTCAGTGACTTAACACAACAAACATATTTTTAAAAAACATACAAATACAAAGATAGTGTCCTACCAGAAATTCAGACTATTTTTTTTCAGCATGTTTTCAAGAGGAGAGTCTGGAGAAGACCTAACTATTTCTTAATATTTCCAGGTTGGAAATGATACATAATCTTCTCATATTTTATTGAGGCAAATTATTTACATGGATATTATGTGCATCTTAGGAGTTATATCTTAGTAACAAATCCACATTCTGAAATGAGAGGCACAAATTATGGATAGCCAGGCATCTTTGGTGTTTTAGGCAAGAGCGCTAAAACTGAATGATATCCCTGTATAGGTCTATAGATGTACTTTCTCATTAACGTATCATCCATTTTAAAATCTGCTTCAAACTATTTTCCCGTTAATAACTATAAAGCTATCTGATGTTTATATTTTATTCGTAATAGCAAAGATGGTATGGAGAGTCTTTATTTCATTCTAATTATGAATTTAAAAATATTTGTTGAGGGCAGGTGGTTCAGTTTCCTAAAATGAATTGTTTGGGCAATAAGAATACGGTAGAGCAGCTCACTCAAGGCAACCTTTTCTCTGAAAGAATTAACTGTTTAGTGTAGGAGACCTTGAAAGCTACCAGTCACTATGTAAGCCCAAAGGAAAAAGAGTTCTAATGAAGCACAAGTAATATTTTATCTTGGACACTAAATGGAAACAGTAGTTATGTCCAGGTTTGTGTGGTATCCAAAACAACATAAAAGAAAGAGGCATAAAAAATTGAAAATGAAAGGATGAGAAATGACATAACAGACAAACAATACCCAAAATAAACTTGCAGTTTTAGGGTGAAAATGAAGGAAAATAAAAGTGAAAGAAAAAACCATTGAGATAAGTAATAGAGATAAAATAATAACAAGAGATATAGTTCTTCAAAAATTTTAGAGTGATTCTATGCACATAACAATGTAGACTTGAAATGTGGTTTATTAAGCTGGAAAAGAAATCCCAAAGTTGGATCTTTTTTTTTTTTCTTTCCTAGTTACACATGACAGCAGAATCCATTTTGATATAAATATACAAGCATGGAATATATCTTATTCTAGTTTAGAGTGCGATTATGGTTGAACATGATGTTGGAATTCAACAAACTGTGTTGTTTTCATATAGGTACATGGAAAATTATGTCAGATTAATTTCACTGTCAATCCTTTGCTTATCCCGCCCCCTTCCACCATTCCCTATTCTCTAATTTACTGTACTTCTGTTCTCCTCAACCTCCCTCTGCCCTACCTTATTGTGCGTTAGCTTTCATATAGCTGAGAAAACGTTGGACCTTTGGTTTTTTGGGACTGACTTCCTTCACTTAGCATGATAGTCTCTAAATCCAGCCATTTGCTGGCAGATGTCATATAGTCATTCTACTTTTTGATTGAGTAATACTCCTTTCTGTGTATATACCCAATTTTCTTTATCCATTCATCTGTTGAAGGGCACATAGGTTGGTTCCATAGCTAATGCTATTGTGAATTGAGCTGCTATAAATATACACATTTTTGCTTTAAACCTATTACTATTTATTGTGTTAATTTTATAGCATATGATAACTGGTGTGTTAATAACTCTTAATAGTTTTCATATAGGAAAAACCTTGGGTCTAACTTGTATTACATTTCTTTGCTGTTTGCATCCAGTGGAAATAAATGTGAAGGAGGTGTTTTTTGCAAACATGTTATAATTGAATATTACTTGCAAACATGTTATAATTAGATAATAAGCTTTTTCCTAGGAGGCTTTAGTGTAGATATTGTTAATATCATCTGCTGACAGAAGAAGTTCATTCAGTTTTGTCCAATAAAGTTCTGTTTTAAAGAATGCAAAGGTGTATTTTTTTCTTGAAAAAGATAAAATTTTAGTTATCTTTTAAATATTTTTTATAGTGTAATGTGCACTTTAGTAAAATGAAGAGTTTTTGTTTTTCGTCCCTGTCTTTTAATACTGTTTATATTCAATTAGTTTTATTTATATTTTCAGTTAAGTTCCTCAATAATATGTCTGTTTATGTACTTCTTATATGGGAAATATGAGAATTATGGATTATTCCACAATAGCATGAAATTAAAAGAAAACTTTTGAAAATTCTAAGTAGCCTGTGGAGAAAAAGAGTGTTCATTAATTACTTTCATTGTTTTGAGTTAGTTTTTAAAAATTATTATATCTATTTCTGTATTTTCATATTCTCATTGTTTTGGTTCAGTCTCTTTCTTTCCATACATTACTTTTTCTTTTATCTTCACTGTATTCTTTAACTTTTTTTTTTTTTTTTTAAATATCTTTATAGTTGTAGATGGACACAATGCCTTTATTTTATTTGTATGTGGTGCTGGGGATCGAACCCAGTGCCTCACGCATGCTAGGCAAGTGCTCTACCACTGAGTCAGAACCCCGGCCCCTTTAACTTTTTTTTTATGTTTTCTTCTTCATTTCTTCACTCCTCTACTCTGTTTCATTATTGCATGTTATTAAGTGAATATAGTTAAATTCATCAGGATGGTCATGTTTCACTTTTTTTCCCTTAGGCATAACTTTTGGATATTTTTATGGCTAAAGAGGCAAGAGGATTATTGTTGTTCATTCAAAAAGAAGCTCATCTTTTAATTTATTGTGTGTGTGTGTGTGTGTGTGTGTGTGTATACAAATATATCTATCTGATCAATATATGTTTAGGCTTAAGTATATTCTAGAGCACTTTTGGAAATATTTGATTATCTTGAAGCCTTTTAAAAAATATTTATTTCATTGTAGATGGACACAATATTTTATTTTTATGTAGTGCTGAGGTTTGAACCCAGTGTGTTGTACAGGCTAGGCAAGCGCTTTACCACTGAGTTATAACCCCAGCCCTGAAGCTTCTTTTTAACATTACTTGCTGCATTCTTCTGCTTATCTTAAAAGAGCTATTAAATAATGATATAATTTTTAATAACTGTCATTTATTTAGTACTATTTACTTATGTTCTATAAGTAAGCATGTAGTAGGTATTGAAAATACAGCTGTAAAGAAGATAGACACTGTTTTCATACACACAATATAGCAGCTTATAATAACATTGCTGCATTTTAAATATGTATAAATGTTTATAAAATGGGCAGAAACCAGATAAAGTACTTGTATAGTATAATCATTATATGGGGTTTAGCATTATATTTTAACAAAGATTAGGTGTCTGTGGTTTCTCTTAGTGCATGCGTGCTTCATTATAGAACTTCTTGGTATAAGTTTTTGTTGAGTTGAATATGCTCCTTATTAACTGTTCACTTGAGCAAGTTTTTAACCTATGTGAACTTTTGATTCTTCTTTCTTAGATAATACCCACTTTTCACATCTGTTAAGTCTAAAAGCAGTTTAAGAATTAATTATTCATTGGTAGATTTGTGGCTAATTGGACCCTTTTTTTTCTACTTTATAGGGTATGTGCAAAGTCTGATTAGACGAGTTGTAAATAATGTAAACATTGTTATAAATAATCTCATACTAAAATATGTTGAAGATGATATTGTTCTTTCAGTCAATATCACTTCTGCAGAATGCTATACAGTGGGTGAATTATGGGATCGTGCATTTATGGATATTTCTGGTGAGTAAATGTCAAGAACACAGTATATTTTTTCCATAAATAAAGCAGTTGCCTTCATTTTTTAAAACCTTTTATTGCACAAGTTGGCTTTTGGGTGAATCTATTAAAAGCTTTTTGCCTCCAGTGTGTGTGTGTGGGGAATGTGCATATACAAATGTAGCGTATAATTATAGGAGATTAATAAAATCTGAGATTAAGAACACGTAGACTTGATTTTGAAGGTTCTTAATTTTTATTTCTTCTTACTTCATAATGCTTATTTCAAATGTGATGCATAATATTTTGTAGGTCATGGGTTGAAGTGATAAAAATTAAGTATTTGCTTTGAATTTTTAATGTTTTTGAAGAGGAAAAGGCAGCACGTTGCTTTTTCAAAGCCTGGTAATGACAAACTAATATATCTGATTGATCTGTTTTAGGCTTATGTATAATCTACAGCACATTTGGAAAATTTTGATTATCTTAAAGCCTCATTTTAACTATTAGTTGCTGCATTTTTCTGCTTATCTTAAAAGAGATATTAAATAATGATACTTTTTTTTTGCTGGTTTTTACTTTTTAAAAATTGACTCTAATTTGTTATATATGACAGCAGAATGCATTACAATGCATAGTACACAAATAGAGCACAATTTTTCATATCTCTGATTGTACACAAAGTAGAGTTACACCATTTGTGTCTTCATACATATATCTTAGGGTAATGATGTAACGATACAATTTAATTTTATTTTTTTATTGTTATTATTATTTTTTAAATATTTATTTCTTAGTTTTCAGCGGACACAACATCTTTGTTTGTATGTGGTGTTGAGGAGCGAACCTGCGCCGCACGCATGCCAGGCGAGCGCGCTACTGCTTGAGCCACATCCCCAGCACCAATACAATTTTAAAAAAACATTTATTTAGTACTGTTTACTTCTGTTCTACAGGGTTGGTAGGCACTGTACTAAGTATCGAAAATGTAGCTGTGAAGAAAATATACAATGTTTAGGTTTGTTGGGATAGGTATTATTAGTTATAATATTTGCTTTATGGAATTGGATTTTTGAGTATCAAATCTATTGTAAGCACTTTTTTAAAATGTTACTTGAGATGGTGTTTTTTTTTTTTTTCAATTGCTAGCACTAACTGAGTTTGTATATGACCCTGGGTAAGTTTCTGTATGACCTTGGGTGAACTGTTCTCTGAGTTTTCTCATTTTTATATAGGAACCCAATAGAACTTTCCTAATAGATTTATATAGGATGGATTCAAACTAAAAAGCTTCTTCTCAGCAAAAGAAACAATCAGGTGAATAGAGAGCCTACAGCTTGGGAGAAAATTTTTCCCACTTGGACATCAGATAGAGCACTAGTATCTAGGGTATATAAAGAACTCAAAAAGCTAAACACCAAAAAAACAAATAACCCAATCAATAAATGGGCCAAGGAACTGAACAGACACTTTTCAGAAGATGATAAAGACTCAATCAACAAATATATGAAAAAAATGTTCAACATCTCTAACCATTGGAGAAATACAAATCAAAACTACTCTTAAGATTTCATGTCGGGGGGATCCAACATGGCGGCGAGTGGGGAGGTAGCGCTTTCAGTACCTCCTCAATAACAGGGTCAGAGAGACGCATTGATACGCTTAGATTCGACCTGCTGAGAAACTCCTAGCAAAATTCCACTAAAGAGAGACCGGCCGGGAATTGGTAGGATTTTTGGAGGTGACAGTTTGCCCCAGACGAGTGAATCTCCGCCATGCAGCGCAGAGGTCCAGACCCGCCAGCCGCTGCCCGCGCGACTCGGCGACTGTCAGCTGCCTGCACGCGGCCCCCGCGTCTGGGCGGATAGCCTCCGAGGCGCAGCGCAGCAGGAGCGGTGCAGGGACTCTAGAAAGAGGTCTCTTGCCAAGCCTTCATGAAATAGCGAACCGGGAGCTGAAACCAACCAGAGACAGACCAGTCCCACCCCTCCCTTCGGACACTCCGGCAAGGAGCCTGGGGCCCGCCATAGCAGAGAGGTGACATCACCGGAGTTCCCCCGATGGAATTCCTTCCCAGCGGAATCCACGTTAGCAGGTGTGTGACTCCCACCCCCTCCAGATACAAGCAGCCAGGAAACCTCGGGAATCTCTCCGGGGGCGTGTCTGTAGGGAAGCAGAGGGGATTCCCGATCCCCACCTCCCCTTAACACCAGCGACGACACCCAGGATCTTAGCCGCCAGTTTCTGGGGGCGTGCCCACCAAAGGGGTCTGGAAAAATTAAACTGTTGGTTCCCAGATCACCCCACCACAGCACTGGGGCTTAGATGAATGACAGAGAGGGTGTTCATCGTTCGGGATATAGGACACGCAGTGGGGCTGCAAGTGTAATCAGATCCTTGGGGAACCGCCTCTGGTGAACAGGACCTGGCTGGCTGGCTGGGAGGAGGAACAGGGGGAGGGGCCGGATAAGTGAAAGGGCTCTGGACTAACAGGATTGAGAGACTCCCAGGAGCCGCCATACAGGGATTTCTGTCAGCACATAGAGGGCAAAAGCTCGGCTCGGAGGGCACAGCTCCGCCTACTGGAAGAGAAGAAAATGGGATTCAGCCATAGAACAGGTAATTTCAGGCTGCTATTAGCCCGCGGCTAGCAGACAAATTACTCAGGCTCATTGCTAAATAACCCGTGGAAACTGCTTCTTGGAGCCTGCTCTTATCAGAGCATACACCGAGCATGGAGAGGCCGAGCTCCGGCTCCTGGAACTGCGCTGGCCCAGGGCTGAGGAGCCCGCGGAGACTGCTTCTCGGTCCGGGTCCTGCTGAGTACTGTGGAGGTGGATGCCAACCGAGCCTTCGTGGGCAGTGGCAGCAGGACTGAGATGGGGCCTGTGGGGGCCGGTCGGGACTCACCCGTTGCTTTGGTTGCCCAGCGGAGGGAACGAGATGCCGCTGTTCGCAGGGGATGCCAGCATGGCAGAGATCTGATGTCATCGGAGAGCGGCCAAGGAGAGAATTTCAGCGGCGACGGAAACAGTTGGTCTCCTGGTAGGGAGGGTGAGTCACAGATACCCGAGTCTCTCTCGCTTTGTCGTCAAGCCAGAGGGGAGGAGCGGGGCCGCCGCCCACGCCCGCAAGGTAGGCAGACCCGACCAACCTGCAGATCAGGCCCAGCGGTCTGCGGGCGTGGTAGGAGGAGCAGGGCAGAGCCGCCGCCCGCGCTTGCAAGGTAAGCAGACCTGCGACAGACCGGTGGATCAGGCCCAGCGGCCTGCCAGCGTGGTACACACTTCACCCCAACTGGAGTAGGGGCAGAGCAGAGTCTTCGTCCGCGCCCAGATCAGGCCCAGCGGCCCGCCTGTGTGGTGGTCACGTGACCCCAATTGGAGTGGGGGCGGAGCGGAACTGCCACCCGTGCCCGCAGGGTGGGCAGACCGGCGACCAACCTGCAGATCAGGCCCAGCGGTCCGCGGGCGTGGTAGGAGGGGCAGGGCAGAGCCTTTGCCCGCGCCTGCAAGGTAGGCAGACCTGCGACAGAATGGCGGATCAGGCCCAGGGGTCCGCGGGCGTGGTAGACACCTCACACCAATTGGAGGAGGGGCAGAGCAGAGCCCCCGCCCGCGCCTGCAAGGGAGACTTTTCAACTATACAAGAGCAATATAAATATATAGGGGGGGAAAAATTTCAAAAACACAACAGTTTCACCAAGCAGAAAGAAACGCAAGCAGTATGAAAAGAAAAGGAAAGAAAGGACCACAAGCAATGCAGGTCAACTCAACTTTAGAAGAGGTAACAGCTGCAGCAGATGGAATGTCAGATAAAGAATTCAGGATATACATGCTTCAGATGATCTGGAGTATCAAGGAAGACATTAGACAGCAAAATCAGACAATGAAAGATCACTTCGACAATGAATTACACAAACAAATCCAGGAAGCAAAGCATCAACTATACAGGGAGATAGAGGTTATAAAAAACAAACAAACAGAAATCCTAGAAATGCAGGAAGCAATAAACCAACTTAAAAACTCAATGGAGAATAGTACCAGCAGAGTAGAACACTTAGAAGATAGAACATCAGACAATGAAGACAAAGTATTTCAACTTGAAAAGAACATAGACAGCTCAGCAAGACTGTTAAGAAACCATGAGCAGAACATCCAAGAAATATGGGATAACATTAAGAGACCAAACTTAAGAGTCATTGGGATACAGGAAGGTATAGAACTCCATACCAAAGGAATGAGCAATTTATTCAATGAAATAATACGAGAAAACTTCCCAGACTTGAAGAATGAGACAGAATCTCAAATCCTAGAAGCCTACAGGACGCCGAATGTGCAAAATTATAAGAGATCCACACCTAGACACATTATAATGAAGATGCCCAACATATAGAATAAGGAGAGAATTTTAAAAGCTACAAGAGAAAGGAAGCAGATTACATTTAGGGGTAAGCCAATCAGGATAACAGTTGATCTTTCAACACAGACTCTGAAAGCTAGAAGATCCTGGAATAACATATTTCAAACACTGAAAGAAAATGGGTTCCAACCAAGAATTGTGTATCCAGCGAAATTAAGCTTCAGGATGGAAGATGAAATTAAAACCTTCCACGACAAACAAAAGTTAAAAGAATTTGCAGCTAGAAAACCATCTCTTCAAAACATCCTCGGCAAAACATCACAGGAAGAGGAAATGGAAAATAACAATGAAAACCAACAGTGGGAGGTAGGACAGTAAAGGGGGGGGGGAAATAATCAAAGAGGAAAACAAACCATGTTTAGTAACATAAATAAACAAATATGGCTGGAACAACAACCCATATCTCAATAATATCCCTAAATGTTAATGGCTTAAACTCACCAATTAAGAGACACAGGCTAGTAGAATGGATCACAAAACAAGACCCAACAATATGCTGCCTACAGGAGACACATTTGATAGGAAAAGACATACATAGGCTGAAGGTGAAAGGTTGGGAAAAATCATATCACTCATATGGACTTCGGAAACAAGCAGGAGTG